TTGCTTTTTGACCAAGATGTTAGCGTATAATGCACTTGTATACATACGTCATATATATTGAATTTATGCATGTGTATGTGTAAGATGCATATTAATATATTAATAATTTAATTTTCACGTGACTTGAAAATTCGGCAAATACGAATATCAAGTTTCAAATATTATTAATCAGATTTACATCCAACATTCTCTTCATTTGCATATTAATATGTATATTTTGATATATAACTCTTATAGATGAAGCCAATATTTTGGATGGTCAAAATTATTATGAATTATCATAGATTGTGCCAAGCAATTTCTTTCTATGGTATACTCATCCATATACATGTAATTTTTATTTTTTTCAAAAATGAAGGATATTAATATAAATGAATTAATAAAGGTGAGGGAAAAAAATTATCCAACGTTTTATAAAGGTCATGTGTGTCGTGCATGTCAAGCATGTGGTTGGAACATAAAGTTTGAGCTCATAAGAGTTGTAATCTGTTTTTCTTGAGGAAATTAGAAATCAAATGACAAGCCTTTTTTCATTGACTTTGTAAATGATGAATTTGTGCTCCAGGTTATGAACTACCCAATTGAGTAACATTTGCAAGTTCTTAGGTTAATCAACTATCAGCAAATGTTATTAAAGATCCAATAATAATGCCATTACTTTAGGTTTGTAGTATATTTAGACTTCATATAGAGCATCTATTTTCGCATTTAGAAGAATTCCATGTCATTCGATTTATTTCTCGTAAACATTAAACGGGGCATACCGTGACAAAGTGAACATTTTAATTTGTATTACCAAGGATCTCAGGGATCAAATTTTAGTATGTCAATAAATAAATACACATTCATGTCTCCTTGTATTAGAAAAAAGCCAATACAAACTTATGACAGTTATAATATTATTTAAAGCTTCTACAAAGCTTTAACATTACATATTTAATATTTACAGTTATTCTATTAATATCACTTGAGATTTTAATACCACTTTCTCATCTACTAACCAAGTCATTATTGTTTTTTGTCTTTTTATAGTTCCAGGTGATGGATGCGTCATAGTATCATCTATATCAAAACTAATCCTTCTCCCTGGCCCTCCCAAAAATCTCTTCATAGTTTTCCATCAGTTCCAAACTTAAATTATTGAGATGATTTGTATTATGTATCGATAATATTGGTTCATCACAATTTAATCTGAAAACACCAATCTTTTCAAAAGGCTTGCATATCATTTTGACAATGTCATATTTTTTTCCATCCATGTTGACCACCCATTCTGTGTCTTCTTTTTGTGACTAAATTAGATTTGAAAGTTGAAAACTATCAATCTTTATAAAATATATAGAATAAAATTTTATTTACCCTAAAATTTTCCCTTAATTTTATTTCAAAGTTTGTGGCATTGAGTTTTTTTATCTCCAAATTGTTAATTATTTCACGGTTTCACTAACGAATTTTATAAACATTCCAAATATTTTGACTTAATAATTCATCAACTTTATTAAAAAATATACGAACCAAGCTCATATTTATTGTTCAGGACACTCCATGCAAAAAACTCAATGGCGTAAACTTTTCGTGGATCATATATGCTAAAAATAATTCGTAAATTTCGCATTCTGTGAGCTTGTTTTATCAGTGAAAGAGTCGCTATAATAAAATTTTTTTATTATTAAACTCGGATAATTTGTAATTAGAATGACGATGAGTTGCAATGCATTGCAGCCACCACTTTCATTCTTTTTAAAAAACCAGAATGGCGACAAGTTGCAATGATTACAACCACCATTGTTCTTTTTTAACTAGAGTGATGACAGCCATTTCTCATTCGGATCCGTATTTTGTTGTTTTTATTTTCTTCTTTTTCAGTTTTCTTTATTATTAGTTTATTAAAAATTAAAAACCACATTATTATTGGCACATGGTGTTGCACAAAGATATTTTTTTAGGACAGACGCGAATTGTGAAAAACAATTTATTTTTGACAAGATGTAGCGTTTGTACTCGTAATAGAAATATCTGGCTGGATAAGGAATTTTTAAACGGTATTTTTTCTTTTCTTGTAAATGGTTCAACTTAGCCGACTAGTAATTGACTTCAGCCAATCAAATCGTATTTATTAGTTTTGAAAACAATTCGCCTAAAAACAGCTAGTTACTAGAATAAAATCAACTTTGCAAAATAAAATTTTTTTTTTGTGCATACAAATAAGATAAATCTCAGCATAGTGGAAGTTTGTTGTTGCACAAAATGTTATACAGAACCCGTTGCTCCTGAAACTTCACCAGTATATAGTTGTTACCTCTCTAAGTTGGAGATCAAGTTCAGATCCAATTCAAATCCAGTTTATCACTTACTTTTTATTGCCAGAATGTTTGTCATGCATTTCGCGTAATATAAAAAATTAGTGTAACATTTCAAATTTCTACTATGCTATAAATCTCAGAGAACATATTTATGTGTTTTTATTGCCTTTGATTATATAAAAAGTTTTCTCTTTATGATGCGTTGATTTTTGGAGTTTTTTATATTTGAAAAAAATCTGATTTTTTGCTTTTTGCTTTGTATTTAGGGGTTCTGATCAAAAATAAAAGCGATATTTAAATATTCATAATTATTATCACTCGATATTCAAATATTTATGATTATTCGAAATTCCATTACTAAAAGTCATCTGATGTATTTTAATGACGGTGGCCGAAATTATTTTAGCAAATCCGAGCCATATAAATCAGGAATTTAGACTCCTAACTAGTGACGAACGAAACTTAAATATTGTCTAAACTGCGGGAGAAACTGTAGGCGAAACTTTTAAATTATGATCAAGTTTTAAATAAAATGGATTTATCAAAGTGTCGTCCAATCGTATGTTGGATATGCGACCTAGTCTCTTTCGTTTAATAATCAACTTATTTGTTACAAAAATATTAAATGATGTCACTTTTTGACCAAGTGAATTTTTTTTATCAATCAACTTTTAATTAATTAATCAATCAGATAATTAAATAATTCTATCAGAGCCTTGCTTGAGAAAAGTTAGTATAAAATTATTTCTTTATAAATAATTCATTTTGTAATAATCAAACAAATTAATTCTTTTTTTGTTTAAATAAAACTTTTGTGGTCGGAAATCAAACAGTAGTACTAGTAGTAGTAGTAGTAGTAGTAGTAGTAGTAGTAGGCTCTAATTGTCCGTTTGGTTTTTCCCGTAGTTTAGGAGTTTCGTCAATTTCTCCAGAAAATTTTCATAGAAATTAGGTCTAAACCAAAATTGCCTAAATGCCTAAACTACGAGTTAGTTTCGGCCACCATCACTACTTGTAAAGACTTTACTCTTGAAGTTAGACAAGAAAAATAATTAGAGCTAGCGCTAGCAAATTTCAGCTGCTTGTTTTTTGTGATGAGAACTAAATCCAGATATCCATGACTTTGAAGAAGCTTAAATCACATGACTTCAATTTATAGAAAGAAAAAGGAAAATTTTATATAAACGGCCGATAAATTGATTGATAGATTGGTTGGTCATTTGGGAATGTGTAAAGCATCAAAAATCAATAATTATAACAAAAAAAAAAAAAAAAAAACGGAAAGTCCACAGCTTGTCTACACCACTTGTAATTGAAAATTATGAGTTAAAAGCTTTATCGATTTGTAAATAAATAATATCCAACTTATGTGTTGAAAAATATACAATTTAGAGAGAAATTGTATTTAAAGAAATGAATCAAGAAGAATGACAAACCAAAAGGGATGATAAAGATACAAATATATTAATAAGATATGATACAAAGAATAAAATAATCGAATTTAAAAAACTTGAACTTGTCATTTTACAATGATTGGTGATTGAGGATTTTGTTCCATTGCGTTTTGTTCTGTTACAATGATATCTGCAGTTTGTTCGTTTGTCTTCTCTATGTTTTTATATCTTCTTCCAAGTAAATCTCTCAATTTATGGGTACAAAATGCTACTATATATGAAATACCTACAACTAATAAATAAAACACACCAAATGGCAATCTCCGGACCAACATCCCCATTAACAAATGCAAGAGACCCAAGTCCAAATTCAAATTTAAATAATTAAATCATAAAAACATGATGTTTTGATTTTTCATGATTTTACTTTGCATAAATTATTCATACTTCAAAAACGTACAATACTACTAAAGATATTGTCAGAAGAAAAAATCGATATAAGATTATTTGTTTATTTAAGAACAGCTCACTTAGTCCGAAAACAACATCTAGACCATATCTTGATATCCAAAGACACAAAACTATTGGAGAATATTTAAAATTTTGGAAATATTTGACAAGAGGCACCCAACGCAGAATTGATAGAATAGAACCATCATAATCATCATAATCATCACCATTATTATTGAAATATATATATAAAAGCAATATATTTTTGAATAAAAAAACTTACTGATAATGTACAACTGAATGATGAAGTAACCAGAATGCCCAATTAAAGGATTTCGGAGATTTGTTAAATGAACTTGTTGTTTTGGATTTACATATTTTATTGAATGATGAAATGCAATCTTTATATTTGTGATTTTAAAAATTATACATTTACTTCAATTCTCAAAAAAATATAAAAATAGAAAATCTTACAGTAAAATAAATTAATAATCCAACATGACTCCAATTTTCAAAAATAAAAAAAGTAAGTGATGGTTTCAAAAAATAAACCTAACAATAATATTACCCATGCATAAACTGTTACCAATCCTCTAAATTTAAGCAATGTCAATGGGCTGACAAACCATGAAGTTACAGAAGGCTCAGGTTGAAATTTCATTATGTTTTTAAACAAATTAGTCGCGCTAAAAACTTGTATATTTATATGACTAGACGCATCTATTCCTTTATCATTATCATGCTCGCGACCAATAGCCTTTTGGCTGTTTGACCAGCTAAAAAAATTGGCCAAAGCGGTCAAAATTTCTCAATTTTGATGTTAGCCAAAACAGAAAAATCATAAATGCCAATTATGGCATAGTTAATGATTATTTTCTAATCATTGTAATTCTACTAAAAAGATACATATATTTAAATTTTCAGTATTATTCATTCAAACTTTTCCAAGTGTTTTTTTTTTAAAACATTAACAGCTATAATCACCATTATATAAAATAATAGTAATTTAAGCTAATGGTTGGAACAAATAATCCATCCACTAACAAAAGAAAAATTACTAAACGTTTACAATTACTGTATCTTTCCTCAACTAATAATTGTAACAATATCAATATAAATATTCCTCTCAGAAATGTGATCCACCCACCACCATCAATTCTTATTATGTTCAGCTGAATTCACCTCCAAGTTACAGAAAATGATTTTCTCAATCTTCATTACAATGTAATCGGCAACGTTGTCAATGATTTAGACAGAAGTATGTATTATTGCAAAAGTATAAGGCCACTCACTATAATATAACAAGCTCTTTAATGACAAAGGTGGTGGTACTCATTTGATTGCAAATTATTTTTTTGTATCCTTTGATATAGACTCTATCCCTATTTAAATATCCATTTCAAATATTTTAGTCAAAATAAAATAATGTCAATTTTATATAGAAGCGTAAACTACTGGTTGTGTAAATTAAGCTAGCAGCAAAACTAAACAGTCTCTTGCAGAAATGATTGTCTCGAAAGACATGAACCTAGTAAATTTAGATACAAACGTCAAGAAAATAAAAGTGAACAGTAATAATAGTAGCCGCTTCCTTGTTCATCAATTCCTATTGGTGATAACAATAACGATAATGATAAAACAGAATTATCGAAAGCTCCAAACTATAAAATCATGAAAAAAATCACTGTAAATGTGTGTTCCAGAGATGAATAAAGAATTATTATCATTGCATATATATTGCAATGATACAAGAAGAATAATTATCATTGAAATTATAATTTTGAATTAGGAATTTTACTTAATTGTGCGAAACTAATTATTATTACATATTCTCTTTCAAAATAAAAATGCTCTTCTTTTTTACAAATTGAAATTATTTTTTTATTAAATGAAAAAATCAAATTGTTCTTTGGTGCCTGAGTTCGAAACATACATGAACAGGTCAATATTGGTATATAGAGCAACTTTAAATGCATACAAGTTGTGTTTTTCGAATTTGACTTTGAAGTTAACTACAGTAATAGTAATACACACACAATAATGTTAATAATGTGTTTGAGTGTCTGTAAGCTTTAAGTTTCAAGCTTTAAAAGTGATAAGAATGCTATTATTGAAGCATTAGAATCACGATGAATTTTTGTTAATGATAAAGTTGTTCTTTAAATAATGCAATTTTTATAATTTTTATTCAAGATTTATATTAATTTTATTAGTGTGAAAAGGACGCACGCTTTAGAGACCGGCGTATTTAGGCAGGAAATGTCCCCTTCCATAATCATTTCATTCATTCATAATAATAATGCATTCTCACAAATAAGGAAGATTGTTTGTGTTTGTCACACGCTCAATTCTCCGCAAAGAAAAAGGAAATAATATGACCGTTAGTAATACTCAAAAAAATCCCACATTTTCTTCATTAAAACAAGTTTTATATTTTTTACATAATGTCACATAATAAATTATTATCACCAGAAAGAGAAGAATTTGTATTTAAAATTTATAATGAAATGGAGAATAATGCAATGGTTAGTTCTGATAGAGAAAGTCAAAAAAAATTTTTTTTTTCATTAGCCAACAAAAACAAAGAGCTTTCTGAAAATGAAAAAGAATATTGTAAGGAAGAGTTTATTTATGACTTTGAATTAAAAAATGCAAGAGATAAAAAGGGAAAACCAAAAGAATGTAACAAGTGTAAATTGACAAGATACTCTGATAGGTTCTGTGAAGGTTGTATTAGTTTAC